AAAGTTCCAAGAACAACTTAAAAATCTTCTTGGGGCTAAGCTCTGGTGCTTAGTTGCTGGCTGAGGTTAAACCACAACAGCAACCTTTGGTCAAATAGACAAATGTATGTATTAAAAGTGTCTGTAAGTCTTCAGAGAGAGCTGTCTGTAGGACTGCTAACAAGAAAACCCAAGATATGTACCAAAGCTGCTGATGTGAACAACTGGCATACAGAAAGTTCTGCCACCACAGCAATCGTTTTACAGATATTATCTGCCACTCATAAAAAAAGGTCTGTATTAATCCTATTTCACATCACATCAGCATACAATAAGCCTGTCATTATTTATTCAAAAGTCAAAAGACAATTGATTTAGCTTACGGTGCTGTAAAATGCATCATGACTCGAGGAACTCGGAGAGCAGAGCAGTGCTACAAAAGCAGCCCTTGGCACCTCCTGGAACCTCACCATCCACTGCACAGAGAAGGCAGCAAGGCAGGCTACACAGCAAAGGAAGATGCTTGGCAGTTTCTCCCACCCAGAAAAGCAAATATTAAAATAATCCAGCCAAGCACATTAAACATAACTAAGTCTCACAGGCAGACCCAACAGGCAACTTTTCTCCAAGTTATGCTCAACTTCTGACCCATACCTACTAGCAGCCTGGAAGAAGAACTTGTTCCCTGATGATTTTGGTTAGTTTTTGGATTTTTTAATCCACTATAACATCACAAGTTAGGAAAAACAGGATTGTTTTAGGGTTGACTGAAGAAGCTTTCACTAAATTAAAAGCCTGTGTTAAAGCACAAGCTCAAAGTTAATATCTCACAGCTGCAGTAATAAAGTAACAACCAGTTTCTCTGAGGTTTATGTCAGTATTTTGAGATACAAATCCTGTGACCTCAAAAGGTAAATAAACAACACAAAATTTAAACACCTCCAAAAGCTATTTGAGCACTGAAGGTAAACCATATGGATTAATGAAGAACAATCCAACTTTAAACCAACTATATGATACATGCCAGTAGCTTAAGTTTTTAAAACTTATAAAACTTGGTCTGCAAAAATCATTCCACTCATCTCTCCAATCCACCTGAAGAAAGCATTCTTCCCATTCTACAGAGACTAAGACCAAAAGTAAGAGAGTATTAAAACATCAACAAAAAATTCAAAGTGCCTCTCAGGCCTAGGCATGAACCAATAGTGTCAGTAACAACCCTTTCTCTACGATACACTTTCAGAAGTTTTCTACACAGCCATGCATTTTTCAGGAACTTGATTTCTCTTGAAAAGAGACATCCATCCACTGTGCAGGGAACAACAGCTGTGACTCCTGCACTGCAGCATCCAGCAGGAGCTGAAGGAGTAGGAAGACACAGCTTTGCAGAACTCCACTCCACTTACAGACTCAGACCCTTGAAAGAACCATGACAAATACTTGGTTAGCAATCATACAATTCAACAGCTACCAAGATTATGAAAAGTGTTCTGTCTCTGCATTCAAAAGAAGTGCTTTTTAAAACACGCTTCCATAAAGAAAACAAAGACATGTAAATGCTTAGCCTCACTTAACACTTAACATAAAAGACGTGTCAGACTCTAAATCAAGTAACTCACTCAGTAAACTGTGCCACAGAATCCAGTATTAAAGAGACTGAGACAATGACATAATTTAGCTTTACATATGCAAAAAAGGGACATCTAAAACCATTTTATCTGCTGATTCATATTCAAAAACACAGTTACAGTCTCTGCAGCTCCTAACGGGTTTCCCAAAGTTCACAGTGCAAAACTACTATCAAAGCTAACACCAAAACTGCTACAAACTGCATTAGTCTTGTGCTGCCAGCTGCATAAGAACTTAAAAATAAAAAATTATTGTCATCATCGCTGGTAAGGCTGCACCCCCAAAAAACACTGATTGCCTTTCATTAGAGAATATCTCAAGTCTCATAGAGCCATCAAAGCCCACTTTATAAACCTCCAGCTAGAGAGTCCTCATTCAAATACTACCCTGAACTCTTGTGAAATATAAAGCTTAGGATTATTTAAAAGCTGCAATTTAGGAGAGATATATTTGAAATCAAGTCACTGAAGTCAAATCTCCCTGGAAACATAAAATACAGAAAAACATAACTTTTTTTCCTCACAGAAAGATACTGAGCATATGATTAATTTTACATGCAAAATCAACAAAACCCTCACCTAGCAGTTCTTAAAATTATGTATTTACACTGATAAAAAAAATAACTGCACTTACTATTGCTGTACTCCTGTCATAACTTACTAACAAGTTAAATAAATGGCTTTCAAAATAAATGAATAAAACAAAAATCTAAAACACAGAGAATTAAACAGAGCAAAGATATAAAACATTTAAGATAATTAAGTTTTGTCGTATTGACTTTTTAAATATTTCAATTAAAGAGCTGGGGAGAAATAAAAGGAATCTGCCTGAAGCAAAGAAGGCCAAGGAAACAGACCAAAACTGTTTGCCAAACAACCAACACTTAGGGTCAATGACAATAAATTTCAACCTCTGAACACATCAGCATTAGGGAAAGCAACTTGTGTGACTGAAATTTTGATGAAGGCAGAAGCTCTGCTTCTTTACCCCAGTAGGGCATCCCCAATTTCTAACCAGTAGCAGAAAGAACTCAATAGCTTGCAGCAAACCCCTTGCTGAAGGGATTAAACTACTGATATGGAGAAAACTGTTCTTTTTTCTTCTCTACAATAGACATGCTATAGGACAAAACAGAGGAATAGAAAAGAAATTCAACTGGGCCTCAAACCATTCTCTTACTAGCCTACTTCAAAATTTCCCAATGTATTTCTAAAATGATCCTCATAACCTTACTAAAGTTCAAAATAACCAGTTGGAATATTCCACGTTCTTAAGTTTTGTTCCTATCTTAGAAACAAAAAATTCTGCCATAGTAGCAAAACTAATAGTTCTGAAATTGACATTTTAAAGGATATACTTGAGACAGATTTACAAAACTGAGAAGACAATAAGAGCTACAAAGAACAAAGTGCCAGCAGAATGCTTATAAGAATGATGGAAAACAAAAGCACTCCTAGAAAAGCTGCAGGAGGGGCAAGAGGCCACATTTGAACACAGCTTTTAAAACAACAGCTACCCAAAAGTTAATCCCAAACCTTAAAATAACATTTCAGATAAACATGAAAGGGGGAGAAAAAAGCTCTTCAAGCCTAGAACCAACGATGCACGACTGAAATTCCAATAAAACCTTTTATTATAGAAAAAATAGATCATGAATTACATGTCCTCATACTAAGTCTTCACTCCTAGCTGCATCTCCACCCTTTCACAGGTCTGTGTCAGTGCCTGCCTCTACACCTGCTAGCCTTTTTCATCAAGCAAATTTTGCAGCCCTACAATAGTCAGAGCTGACATCCCATTTTGCTTCTGACTTCATGATCTAAGAGGTTTTATGAACCACAACTGAGAGCTAAGTATGCCTATCCCAAATAGCAATGATGAAACTAAGCATTTTATTAGCATCAGTAAAACCTTCTTAATGCAATGTTGAGCAACTAAGTGCACATCCTTTAATCAACTGGCCATAAATAAACACTTCAAATGGCAAAAAAAAATCTTCTGTCCCTAGCTTCCTATCACCAAAATGAGACACAGCATACACACAAAACATTCAGTCAATAAAATTCTCTTTTTAGCTTCACCTAAACAGAACCTATGGGGTCTTTTTTTGAAATCAAGAAAAAATTATTGTGAAGTTCCCACACTGTTTCTACATTAATAACTGGTATGGCATCTGATGGCCTAAGGCATAAAAGCCTTGACACTGAAACAAACACAGCTTAAGAGATCTCAGTGATTACAATTGCCACAAACTCCTACCTTAATACTTTCACATGTCTCTCCCACCACTTCAGCTGAAGGGGAATGGAGTCTAACCCAGCAATACATTCCAAATAAATAACAACCAAACTCTCCACCTGAGAGAACGATACTTGCTACCCAGTCAGTACTTGCAACAAAACCTCTTTTCCCTTTCACAAAACTGGTTTATGCCTTAATTTAAAGGAAACAAGTCCTTAATTCCCATAGTTAGAAAAATAAAATCAATCAAAATCCCACCATGAAAGGGCTGCTTTCTAAAGCAAACACCAATCTTGCTTCATCCATACAGATCTGGAACCTAATGAAATCCGACACCTTTACTCTGAAGACAAATTTGCATTGTATTATCAACTAGGGCTGCGTGCTCACAGATGCACTTCATTCAGCATGCGGTAACCGGTTCATTAAAGCAGCATCACTCAAATTTTTTAAAACGATTTTGCAGGTAAAATTTTTGAAACACGATTTGGTAAGCAATATTATAAAAAAAAAAAATGCCTCTGCTTTATTCTATGGATTAAAACGTGCCTCCTCAAACTAAAACATACAGATGTTGTGGCCAAGGTTATACAAGGAGATCTTCATTAAGTTGAGCAATTCCCATTTTGTGTCGCTGCTTTACCAGACATGAATGAGTGCATTCCTCATTACATGAGCTGAAGCTGCACCACAGATATCCAGTACAAACAACACAGTTATTTTTAAATATAGCATGAGAACGTTAACATCAGGACTACACGCAATATAAAAGAGGGAAAGAGCAAACAAACTCGGCTTACGAAGGCAATGTAATCATTCGCCTTCGCATCCACCTTTCCTTGCTTCTCCACCTCCTCCTTCCCCCTAAGATTCAGTTTAAGGCATTCCTTGTTTTCCCACTTTTCCAGGCTCCCAGTCAAGAAATCAACCATCCGCAAACATTTTGTTCCTCCACCCCGCCTCCTCGTGAGCGCAGCATTCAGAACATCCCCACCGGCACTGCCCCCAAATCACCTAATGGTTATCATTACTGCGGTCTCAGCACCGGCTCGGAACAAAACCGGTCCCACTACACCCTCGCTGGCTATAAAAAGTAAAGAAGGGGAAGGAAAAGAAAAAAAAAAAAAAAAAAAGGTTTAAGTGCAACTTACGGGGGCGAACAAGAGACAAGTTATCTAGCGAGCCGTGGGGGCGAGCGGCGTGTGCCGCTCCGGGCCGCGGGGGAGCGCGTCCCCCGCCGCAGGGCGCCCTCGGCGCGGCCGCCTCCGCACGGACGGGCAGCGCGGGAGCCGCCGCCTCGGAGCGCAGCGGGCCGGGCCGCCGCCGCTCACCGCCGCCTCCGGCCGCGCTGCTCCCGCTCGGGGCTGCCTTTCCTGCGGAGAAAAGAGACACAAATCCGGAACCTAGCACCCGGCACGGCTCGCTGCAGGGGGACCCCCGCCGACGCGCCCCGGAGCTGCCGGCACGGCGGGCTCCCACCGCCCCGGGGGCGCTCAGGGCAGGCGCCCCCCGCCCGGCTCTGGGCGCTGCGGCGGGAGGAGCTCAGAAGGCCACTTTCACCCGGACCCCGCTGCCCTCGCCGCCGTTAACCTCAGTCGGGCGGGGGGCCGCGCAGCCCCGGGGCTGGGGGCCGCTACCCTTCCCCCGCACGCACACCCACCCACCCACCCACCCTCACACCCCTTCGGCCAGCGGCACGGCGGCTCCCCAGAGGGGCCGCCCGCAGCCCGCCCGCGCTCCGGCGGCGTTCCCATGGCAACAGCCAAGCGCCGGGCCCGGCGGGCGGCTCAGGCCCGCGCCGAGCTCCCTGCCTTTTGATTGACTTCTTACCATTTTGATATTTACATCACTTTCCAGCCTCCTGGAGACCTGTAGGGAGAAGGTCATTGCGGTTGCTAACACAAAGTCCAAACCTACCGGTACCATACGGATAGTATATCCCAAGGTCTTTTGCTGCCAGTCAAATTAAAATGGATTCTCCCTTAGATAGCCATCACAGATAACAAATTAAAAATGTGGGAAGGCACATCTGAAAAATAGCATACGCAAACATCAGCCCTTGCTCTGCAGGAACGCTGCTCTGTTTTCAAACGGCGAGAATTTTGAACACAAGCTGAGGGTAACACATTCTGGAAACTCTGCTAATGGTTGTTACCGTCCTTGGCTTGGCAGAACATTAACAATCTCAGTTCAACCACTTTAAGTGAAGCTTTCCCTGAAATTAGGACACTGTGATTTGGACTGGCTACGTTCCAGCAGTGTGCAGCATGGTGATAGCTAGAGCAGCCGAGCTGCGGTGAGCAGCTGCTCTGCCGCAGAGATGCTCGCCTCACATCCCCTTCACTTTCCAGGAATGTCCAGACAGCAAAGACCAACAAAACTTACACACGGATCCATGTGGCTTGATACCTTCTGAAGGTGTTCCTAATGGATCTTCAGAACTGATGTTTAAGTATCATGGTGTTTGGTACTGTAAAAATATCTGGATTTCCAGAGAGCAATCACTCTTTTACAGGTTCTCCACTTGAAGTCATGACTCCTGCAGGTGTTATGGGGTCAGAAAAAACAATCCTAATCTCATTTTCCTGAGAAGAAGAAACATTATGGATGGACAAAGAACTGATCCCAGTGCTGCTCTGGCATGGAAGAAAAAGTAGAATTGACAAGCTAGTCAAAAAAAAAAAAAAAAAGCAGGAACATTTTCCGTATTTAAATATATTTCTCTTATATCACCCACCTGAAGTGATTTTTTACTTTTAAAAGAATGTGGGGTTTTTTGATTTTCACTCAAATAAAAACTTTTTTATTGGCAGCTGGAGCCCCAGTCCTATAAAGGGAAGTCCAAAGAGGCTTACAGGCCTCAGGTTCATACACACAACAGTACTGGATGTGACTGCAATGTCAGGAACTGTGGTGTGCAGTTATTGAATTTGCCTTCATCAGAGGAATTTAGATAGTGAGGCTCTGGCTTGCAAGTTCTTTAATGAGGTTAATGAGGCCAGCACATTCTCAAACGGTTTGTATGATCTTCCTTCACACCCTACTGCTGCTGCGTCAGATCTTCAGATGAGGAAGACATTCAGAAGGGGCGCACAGGGAGGGAGAGGCTCTGACACGCAGCACCAGCCCAGCCTGTGTGCTATCTGCACACACCCTTGCCTGCAGGCCAGCCAGGAGCTGGCTCCTGCTCCTGGGCCCCTGCAGCATCTCCCTGAATCCCAGGGAATCCCTGCGAGGGTGACATCTGGTTCTGCAGGGGTCCGGTGTGAGGGCTGCTGCTGCGAGATGCTGTTCTCACCACACTCTCCCCCTTGCATGACTCTCCCCATCCAGAGCTGTGATTTGGGGCCAGCAGCACTCAAGAGCAATATGTGTTCTCACAGGTGTCAGAATATCCAGAACTCATTTATTTTCTTTTTGTGGAAGTACAAACTTTGCTGTATCTTTATAATAAGCAGTTATTAATTAGGCTTGAGGCGGGGAGAGAAGGAGAATTTAGAGGTTAACCCCGGCCTATGTAAGAAAGTCATCAGAAGAGCTGATCTAAAATAAGAAGGACAACAGGATAACTCCAAAATAATTATCTTGCCTCAATAATGCACACCTAATTCCAGAACAAAAGGACTCTCTTCTCTTTTATAGAGCAGTCACACACCAGTTTCTGCTTGACTAGCTGTTACAGAATGAAGGATACACAGCTAGTTTCCCTGTGTAGAGAAAAGCCTCAAAACTCCAATGATTTTTGAATGCCAACCCTTCTTCTGCCACTAACTTGCTGTGTTACCATAGGCAAGTCACTTAATTTCTGGTTTAGTATTGTCCTTTAAACAAAAAGGGAAAATGACACAGTTATTTACCTCAGAAGAGCAAGGTAAGAGTGAATTAATTTTTATGTTGCTCTCTGAAGATTTGGCTTTATGAAAGGGTAAATAGTAGGACTGTTTCTGAGTACAGCTGGCTGGAGCTGTTGGAAGCACAGGGAAAATCTGACTAAGAACCTGAACCACCCTGAAACTGAGTGTGTAATTTATTCACTGATGAACAATGAACATGTGAAAGTTTGTATCCAGCACACCCTTCCAAGAAGCATTACAATTTGGATATACAGCTCCCCAGAAAAACAGATGAAGCAATTCACATAGAGATGATTTGACAGAGCCCAAGATCAGTGTATTCCAGGATATTCATTCTCTCAGGAAGTCTCTGTATGTGGGGAAGGTTTTAGGTTCTTGGAGTGTTTTCTAGCATTATTGCCCTGGAGATTAGAGTCCATCTTTCATATGGATCATTTCAGTAATCCAGTTTATAGCACACAAACTGTTATACTGCCATAAGGAAAGGCCAGCTGTGCTGTGGGGCACTGGGGACAGGGACAAGAGGCAACTTCTTTAGCCAGAATTGGCAGGAAAGGCAGCATCTTGTGAATTGTAACTTCTGTGTTTTTTTCTCTTTTTTTTCACTCACCAACAGGCCTTTTCTGATATCAAGTAGATATAAACACTCCCTGACTTCACCAGTTATAATTCTAGGCAACTCATACAGTCATTTGAACTCTCTAAGGGACTTCAGAGGCATTTTAAAGCGAAACTCTCTGCAGCTTATAAGAATTCATCCTGAATTAAATCTGTTCCATTTAATTGGCATGGGTAATTACCAATAGGGCATAAAAGTATTTGAAGTCATTAAAACTCAATGTGAGAAATACACATTAGCTAGATGTGGGGAAAACGTATTTTTTTTATAAACGCAAGGAAATGTTTCACACTTTGGTAAATTTAACATTGTAGAAATATTGAAGGATTTCTCTCAAAAAGGATTTGAAAATAAAGCATGCAGGAGCATTTGCAATAAAGCAGCACATGGAGCAAAGTGTGCAGGTGAGCCTGAAGGCTGGTGCGAAGGGATTGTCAAGTAGGAAGTACAAAATGAAATGATCAGTGTCAAGTCTGACAGGCCAGAATTGTGACCTCTCAGCTGTGGGCTCACAGAAGCACCCAGCCACATTGCTGCTTCCTCCTGCCAAGCCTGTCTGTCCTGCTTTGCAGTCAGCAGCCTCTTTCTCACAATTTGCAAGGATCTGCGTTATCCTTATGCATTTCTATGGTCTGCCAAACCACTGGAATAGAGAAAAAAGCCCACAAACCGTACTAATGGGAGCCACTTAGGACCTAGACAGCTGTAAATTCCTCAGAAAAGAATTGCAAAACACACATTCAGAGCATGTCTCAAGTCTGCATTTACAGAGGCATGACATAGCCATTAACTTTATGAATCAAGAAGGGTTTTCAATAATAAAGGCACAGTTAATAATCTTGGCTGAAAGGTTTCTTTTGTAAAAAAAAAAAAAAAAAACCTGCATTTTATTTGGATGCACATCAGACTACTTAAAAATATTATTTTGATGTTACCTTTTGGTTTTAATTTAGTACCTGGAACAAGAACATGGCTGGTTAGACCAATGTACAGTAAGTCAGCATAATGTGGCAAGCAGTCACAGTACTACAGGCTTAGGAGAAAATGCAAGAAAAGAGAAGGAAAATTAGAAAATTTCCTTTCCTGACAGGAAGGTAAAACAAAAGGGAAGTTTCTGGAAAAAGGGTGTTTTGTTCCAAATTTGAAAGGGATGTGATACAATGTCAGCCATTAAATTATACCATTCAAGTATCTTAAAACAACATAAGCAGAATTTCTCTGCTTTATTTAATAAAAAAATCCCTTCCTATGCATTAAAAGATTAGGGATGAAAATTCAAATATGCAAAAGTAATAAATCCCAAATACAATCTGCATATACCTTTATGTCAAATTTCTTTGGCATAGCCACTCTATAATATGAATTGCAACTACATGATTGTGTAACTTTCTCCCCAGTTTCTCTGAAGCCTGGAAAATCAGAGTGCAGCTCCATGCCTTCCTTTCTGCAAACTGTTGTTCCCTAGCCTGAAGACAGGTGGATGTGTTGCCAGCTAGGTTGATCTGGAGTGTTCATCAGAACAGAGTGTTTCACAAAGAGCAACAAATACATTTTTAGCCCTTTCCTGTAAGGTGATATTGTTATCCCCCTTTCATAGATCAAATAGCTACCACCTCGCTTTCCAATGTGGTTAGGAAGGGACAGCTCTTCTTTTCCAGAAGAACATCTCCTCAGGAATTCACTTGCAATTGTGAATACTTCTGCAAATCTAGCCCCAGGCCCCCTGGAGCAAGGCTTAAGCAACACAAGATGGCATACACAGGCACTGCTAATGGACGTAGGTCTGTCTACTCCACACTCTACCCCTTCTTCCTCTTGGTTGCCTGTACCTGCCCCTGTGCAGCCCCAACCTTTGTGCTTACACAGATGTTCATGTGACTCTATGGCACATTAAC